GTAAGAACATATGATGTTTGGTTTTCCATTTCTGAGTTACTTCACTTAGAATAATAGTCTCCAAATTTATCCAGGTCGCTGCAAATGATATTAATTCATTCCTTTTTATGGCTGAGTAGTATTCCATCATGTGTGTATGTGTATATATATATATCTCAACTTGAATTTTATCTCCCAGAATTCCCATGTATGGTGGGAGGGACCCAAGAGGAGGTAATTAAATCACAGGGGTTGGTCTTTCCTGTGCTATTCTCATGATAGCGAATAAGTCTAATGAGATCTAATGGGTTTATCAGGGGTTTCTGCTTTTGCTTCTTCCTCATTTTCTCTTGCTATCACCATGTAAGAAGTGCCTTTTATGTCTCACCATGATTCTGAGGTTTCCCCAGCCATGTGAAACTGTAAGTCCAACTAAATCTCTTTTTCTTCCCAGTCCCATGTAGATCTTTATCAGCAGCATAAAACAGACTAACACAGTGGCTGTACTAATTTACATTCCCACCAGCAGTGTAGAAGTGTTCCCTCATCACCGCATCCATGCCAACATCTACAGTTTTTTGATATTTTGATTATGGCCATTCTTGTAGGAGCAAGGTGGTATCGCATTGTGGTTTTGATTTGCATTTCCCTGAACATTAGTGAGGTTAAGCATTTTTCATATGTTTGCTGGCCATTTGTGTGTCATCTTCTTTTGAGAATTGTCTATTAATATCTTTATCCCACTTTTTGATGGGATTCATTGTTTCCCTCTTACTGATCAGTTTGAGTTAGCTGTAGATTCTGGTTATTAGCCCTCTGTCAGATGTACAGATTGTGAAGATTTTCTCCCACTCTGTGGGTTGTCTGTTTACTCTGCTGACTGCTCCTTTTGCCGTGCAAAAAATCTTTGGTTTAATTAAGTCCCAACCATTAATCTTTGTTTTTATTGCATTTGCTTTCAGGTTCTTGGTCATGAAATCCTTGCCAAAGCCAATGTCTAGGAGGGTTTTTCCAATGTTATCTGCTAGAATTTTTATAGTTTCAGGTCTTAGATTTAAGTCCTTAATCTATATTGAGTTGATTTTTGTGCAAGGTGAGAGATGAAGATCCCGATTCATTCTCCTGCATGTGGCTAGCCCAACCTTTTCCATTTGTTGAAAAGGGTGTCCTTTCTCCTATTTCACTTTATAATGAGGATACTGATTCTCAGAGAATTGAAATACCTTAACAAAGGATACCAGGTTTGTTTGTTTGTTTGTTTGTTTGTTTTTTGAGACGCAGTCTCGCTCTATCACCAAGGCTGGAGTGGGGGTTTTGCCATGTTGGCTAGGCTAGTCTCAAACTCCTGGCCTCAAGTGATCCACCCACCTCTATCTCTCAAAGTGCTAGGATTACAGGAGTGAGCCACCATGCTCAGCCACCAGGTAGGTATGCTTTTATTCTTTGCTGTCCCTGCCACTCTTTCAAATTATATGTCCATCTCTTCCTTGCTCAGTCCCTGGAAACTAATGGCTGTGATCCGCATCACCCAAGTTGCTTTGCCTTCTGGCTTCTAGGTAGGTTGGGTCAAAAGGAGGTACCACTGGAAGCAGGAGCTAAGGCAGCACTATACTTATTCGCCATGCTCCCTCCTGACTCACTAGGTTGTGGCAGTGGCTGCATCCCTCAGCCCCACTCCTGTGGAAGGGCTCTTCCATGGCTCCAGCTCTTCCCACCAGGATCCATTAAGACCACTGCCCTCTGCTGCCCCTTAAGCAGGAGTAGGAAGCAGATAGCCTCCACCTGAAGGCTGATAAAGCACCTGGGCCCTGCCCATATTTCTGTAAATTGTCCCTTCATTAAACTCTCTTCAGTTAAACCCTCTTAGTGTGCTGTTTCCTGCAGATACACAGTGCAGGATTTGAACCCACATGGGGGTTCTTACTGCAGAAACCTCCTATTTTGATGGAGGTTTTTACTTAGTGCTGAGGATCAAAACTAAGGGCCCCTCATTCAGATAGGAAGGATTAGGAAGGATCAGAAAAGACTTCACCTGACTCATCTGAGCATGAATCAGTCTCAAAGGTGAACTGAAGTTTACCAGGCAAACAAAGAATGAGGAAAAACATTAAAGGGCAAAGTAGACAGCAGGTTCCAAGTCACAGAGGCATAAAGACTATGTCTCATTAACCAAGGCAGTTATGTAGAGGGCTTGTGAGAGAATAATGATGGTCGAGAGTTTCTAAACTTTGATGATAATCACTTATTTCTCAATCCACGTGAGGAGATTAGAAGAAGCCAGGAATTAGCTATACCCTAAGCAAGAGAAACAATTCACCTATTCCCTACCTTCAATTGATCCCTATTACAGAAAATAAGTTCAACTACTTAGCATAATATAAAAGCCCACCGGCTGGGTGTGGTGGCTCACGTATATAATCCCAGCATTTTGGGAGGCTGAGGCGGGTGGATTGCCTGAGTTCAGGAGTTCGAGGCCAGACTGGGCAACACAGTGAAACCTAGTCTCCACTAAAAATACAAAAATTAGCCAGGCATGGTGACGCACACCTGTAATCCCAACTACTCAGGAAGCTGAGGCAGGATAATCGCTTGAACCCGGGAGGCAGAGGTTGTAGTGAGCCAAGATCATGCCATTGCACTCCAGCCTGGGTGACAGAGCAAGATTCCACCTCAAAACAAAAAAGTATATGTCTATATATATATATACACACACATACACCCACACACACATACATACATATATACAAGCCCTTTCTTATCTGGCCTCTACCCAAACCACCAGTCTCATCTGCCAGCACCACCTCAAGTTGGTCACTGAGAATGCCATACCCTTCTGTGTGTCTGCACTTTTACATATGTTCTTCTCATCAGGATACCTACTTCCACTTTGTACTTGGTAAATTCCTCCTTGTCTCTCAGAACTCATCTCAGGCGTCTGCTTATCTATAAATATTTCTGGAGATCCAAAATGATTCCATAATGCCTTGTGTATAACTTTAGAACAGTACTTTCAAAGCACAGAAGATGCATTATAATTGCTTGTGTGCATGTCTATAGATTGACTCAACTGTGATTTTTTGTTTTTTAAATGATTTTTTATTTTTTTTAAAGATGGGGTTTCACCATATTGGTCAGGCTGGTCTCGAACTCCTGACCTCAGGTGATCCACCCACCTCAGCCTTCCAAAGTGCTGGAATTACAGGCGTGAGCCACCGTGCCCGGCTTTTTCAACTGTGATTTCTTAGTGACAAGGTACTATAGGAAGTAACAGACTATAGAGGTACGTGCTTGGGTTCTGGCGGCAGGCCACCTAGAACCATGTAACCTCAGGCAAGTTATGTATCGTCTCTGGGGCTCAGTTTCATTATCCATAAAATGGGAATAATAACATCTACCTTGGCTGGGCGCGGTGGCTCATGCCTGTAATCCCAGGACTTTGGGAGGCTGAGGCAGGAGAATCACCAGAGGTCAGGAGTTCGAGACCAGCCTGGCCAACATGGTGAAATCCCATGTACTGAAAATACAAAAATGAGCAAGGCATGGTGGCGGGTGACTGTAATCCCAGCTACTTGGGAGGCTGAGGCTGGAGAATCACTTGAGCTCAGGAGGCGGAAGGTTGCAGTGAGCCAAGATTGCGCCATAGCACACCTGCCTGGGCAAAAGAGCAAGACTCTGTCTCAAAAAAAAATAGTATGAATAAAAAAAAATAGTAATAACATCTACCTTACGGAAGTGTTAAATGAGTGACATAATACCTGTTACGCATTAAGCCCTTAGTTAACATATATGTCCCTGATTTTCTGTATAAAAAGCATGTTTGTTGAATGAATAAATTTTCCTACCCTTTCCTAATTCTCTGCATAGATACCAAATTCTACTTAGCCTTTGTTTTATTGAATCATGAAAAATGAAGTCTCATTTCTAAAGATGTACTTTTTCTTCAATTGGTTATGATTAGCAGGTCCTTTTCTGTAAATGCATTTAACTTCTTTCCATGGTCGTTGGCCTGGTTACTGAGTCAGACATTCTCCCGGCCTTCTCACAGTCTCCACATGTGCCTGCCACACAGTTACCCCCATAGAAGGACAAGTTCTGTTTCGATAATTTACAAAAACATTTTCAAGTCAAATCTTGACGGCTCCGTAGGCTGGCACCAGAAACAGCAGGCTCCCCACAGCATAGGGACGAACCATACAGACACTTTTTTCTAATCCCAAAGCAACATAAAATTATTGCAGTAATAAAATAACTTTACAAGTTTTAAAATGGCATTTTCTTAGCCCCAGCCTTGGTAAAAAGCCCGTGTGCCAGAACCAAGGAAAGGAAAATCAGAGCACTTAGAACAGTGTGCTCGGGATGTGAGAAGGAGGTGAAGACCAGCTCCCAGATGAGCCCTGAATTTCTGATGAAAGGCAACATTGTGGCCAACAGAAACACAGGGCACCAGCTTAAAAAGCGACAATGATGCTGCCTTATAACAATATGAAGGCCACACCTGATAAGGCCAAGGCACGTACAGCGGAAGCCTGGGCTGGCTGTGGAGGGAGGCACAGGTCTTACCAGCTCAAGAGCCTCCAGGAGGAGTTCAGCCACTGTTAATGCCCAAGACTCCCGCCCCACCTTCCTTCGCTGCTTCTCCTATCCCTACATTGGTTTTTTTGTCATTCTCTTCACCAATTCTGATTTTCTCATTACCACACCTAGATTTGTTGACTCTAGGTCCCCATCCTCATTCTAGATCCCCAGCTCCAGCCTAGCTGGGAACTCACCAGCCTTCATATCAGCTGCCTGACACTGACTAACTCTTGCGTCTGTGTCAGCTATCTATCCACCCTAGAACCTTCTGTGAAACCATATTCCTTGCTGGAACTCATGTGAGTACACTGCCACTTGTTGGGAATAACAACGACATAACCTCCCAATTATTCAGAGTTAATCTGATCATGTTTTTAAACTAAAAGAAGAACCACACAATTTGACAGCGAAATTAATATTTTTATAAATGACAGTTCTCTACTTACAGGCCTCCTGATTGATGCACCTTGAACAGAGTGATAAAATTCTGGCTGGACTCGGCTACTCTTCTTGATTCTTCGCTTCCTCACGGAAGTTTCTTGCTCGCTCTGATGGTGAACTTCCACCACGGGCTTCACTTCTTCCAGACGGGCAGCTGCAGCCGCTGCGACCCGTCTTCTAATATGCCGAGGGCTTGCTCTGAATCCCTGTGGCAGAAAACACAACCAAGCAAATCCAGATTTGTACTGAGTTAGTTTGGAAGTTCTCCAGGGCTAATTATACAAAGAGCTCCAAAAATCACTCTGGTCAGTGAGATCATGTGCACCCCCAAAGTGAGCATGGAGGAGGCTCAACATGCAAGCAAGGTTTCCCCACAAGTGTTCTTTAAAGCACCCCAGTATTTCAGGGTCCAGAGTTATTCTACATTAAGAAACATTTTGAATTGAGTAAATCCAGTCCCCCAAAAAAAGAAGGAAAAAAAGGCAGGTGGGCACACTGCTTGACTGAAGCATCAAGCAGAGTGTGAGTGAAGAAGGGTGTTTCCAGTGTGGCCTGAAGTAGAGTGTAGGAAGAAGCACGGGATATGACTCCAGGGTAAAGTGCTACTTTACATTCCTGAGAGAGACTCCTTCCGCGGAAGGAAAGCAGGAATGCAAAGCATCACTACAAAACACCACAAAGTGAGGATTCCAAACTCAAATGGAGCCAATGTGGTGGAACAAAGGGTATGGATTTGGGCATCAGCTGAATTGGGTCCAAATGCTGACTTCTTAATTATAGCTACACAATGTATTAAATATTTCCGAGTCCAACTGTTCTAACCTATAAAACATGTAACATTCCACTCACAGAGCTTTGAAATTTTAAATGACATAAATACACATAAAATTCAAGCCGAGCATAGTGGCCTATAATCCCAGCACTTTGGGAGGCTTCGGTGGGTGGATAACCTCAGGTCACAAGTGCGAGACCAGCCTGTCCAACATGGCGAAACCCTGTCTCTACTAAAAATACAAAAATTAGCTGGGTGTGGTGCCGGGCGCCTGTAATCCCAGCTGCTTGGGAGGCTGAGACAGGAGAATTGCTTGAACTTGGGAGGTGGAGGTTGCAGTGAGCCAAGATCACACCACTGAACTCCAGCCTGGGTGACAGAGCAAGACTTCATCTAAAAAATAAATACATATATACACACACACACATACATATTTGGGTATATACATACATACTATATATGTGTATATATTTTTTTATTTTTATTTTAAAATTTTTTATTTTAAAATTATTTTAATTTTACACACATATGTAAAATTCCAACTATGGTATCTGACACATAGGAAGTGCTCAATAAAATTGCCATTTTCCTCTTGTTTTAGAGCAAGAGGAGTATAAGGACAACTCAGACAATGGAAACAAGTTCAGCTAGGCCATATTATGCAGTTGAAACATGCAATTTTGGAAAATATCAGTAATCAGGTAAAATAGTCTTGGTCCTCATGGCTTACAATCTACTGGAGAGCAGAAAGAGAAATCTAACACAAAGTTCATAAACACATGGGAATGTGTAATTAAGGCTTAAAGTGGTTAAAGTGGTAGACTCTCACTGCTAGCAGATCTCAGAGAAGGAAGTCAATCAATGAAACTGAGAAGAGTTACATTTGGCTTAGTTGAGTGGGTGGCATTTGAAGAATGAACTGAATTTACATTGAAGGCAAAGGAAACAACATAAGAAATGAATAAATAATAGACAGATGATGGACAGATGGATGGAGTATTTACAATAAGAAACATTATTTGATAATGTGCTGGTATGAGGATATGAACTAAATATGGTGGGAGGTTAGTGAGAGATAAAACAGTAACTGCTCTAAGAAGGGCTTCTTTGAGTTTGTGTGTCTTCTGAATTTTTGAAGATTTGGAAAAGACTTAAAGGTTGCAGTAAAGGCATAAAAAATGAGGAGTAAGAATTTCAGAGGGTGAAGCAGTATGAGAAAAAGCATAATAATGATTCTGTGGGATACTGAAAGATTAATGTGTACAGTGGGATTCTCAGTGAGGAAGCTGGAAGATGGGCTACAGTCCAATTATAGAGACCCTGTACACCAGGCTGAAGGATATGAAGGAGAAAATTTTTTAAAAGGAAGGGTAGGTTAGTGACAGAGTCAAAAGGAGCAATGAGGTCAACAGAAATCGGTGAGGAGAAAATGCAAATGGATTTGGCAAACCCATGATCATTGTTTGGGCTCTTCTAATCCATCCCCAAAGACATTAGTGTTGTTCTCATCCCGCCCCTGTGTGCAAGCTCAGCTGGTCCTCCTCAACCCAAAATAGTCCCAGAACATCCCCACCACTCCCACGTAACCCAGAAGGTACTACAGCAGCTGCTGGAGAAGAGGATTGAGGAGAAGGAACTGGGCCAAATGCTGAACTGAATTCTAGGGCAGTTTAGACCACACACATCAAAACCAACAGCTATACAGGCTGCTTTTTAAACATGCAGGTTCCTGGACATTCTCCATCCCACCCCCAGGCCCCGCCCTTCTCCACCACACACGCACACATTCTCTCTTTCTCTCTCTCACTCTCTCCCTTTCTCTTTCTCTCTTCCCTTCTAAATTACACTCACTATGGGTGAGGCCAAGAATCTCATTTTTTAACAAGCTTCTCCGATAATTTTTCTACACTTTGAAGACTAAGAACTTCTAGGAACCAGAATTTAGTCGGACCACTAGGTGGCATTATCTCTCATAGCCCCGGCATTCTTGTAATTCAGAAATTCGGTGTTCTGGCAGAATGAACAAAATAACTGATAATATATTCGCTTCTGTAATAGTGGAGTAAGTCAAGTACATTTCTCTTGTAGGAATGTAGAGTCTCCTCTTACGAGTAATAAGCAACCAGATCTTGCCTAACCGGTATTATTACCAGTATTCCTCAGTGATCTACAAATTCTAGAAACAGGGAGAAAAACTGCGTAAAACTTCCCTAAAGTAACCAAATGACACAGATTAAAACATGTTGGCACAGCAATTCTGAAGAGCAATAACTCAGTGAATTCACATCCCTGTATCTACCCTAGAGAAATTCTACCAAGAGTGCCCAGGAAGATATTCAATGCAGAATTATTTCTGATATAAAAAAGTTTTTTGAGACAGAGTCTTGCTCTGTCACCCAGGCTGGAGTGCAATGATGAGATCTCAGCTCACTGCAACTTCCCCCTCCTGAGTTCAAGCGATTATCCTGCCTCAACCTCCTGAGTAGCTGGGATTACAGGCGTGTGCCTCCATGCCCAGCTAATTTTTGTATTTTTAGTAGAGATGGGGTTTCACCATGTTGGCTAGGCTGGTCTCAAACTCCTGACCTCATGATCCACCCACCTCGGCCTCCCAAAGTGCTGGGATTACAGGTGTAAGCCATCACATTTGGCCAAAAAAATTTATATTTTTTAAATTTTTTTTCCTTTTTTTTTTTAATTCAGGTTTCTGGTCCATTTATCAGCTCACTGGCCAAAAATTTTAAACCACTTAAATCAGCCTTTCCTAAACTTCAGTCATCTTCATTCCACTTTAACATTTTTTCTCCAGATCTGAGCACTGCCTCAGTGATTTCTGTCATGTCCAAATTTACTTGAACTATTTTAAAGTAACTTTTTATAAGCAGTGTAGTATACTACACAGACTCCAGCCACAATCTGGTTTCTCATACTGCCTTTGTCACGTCCTAGTTGTGTGATCTTGCATAGTTACTTAATGATTTCCTCACCTGTAAAGTGAGGATTAAAATAGTACATCATAGGGTTACTGAAAAGAATAAATTAATGCAGGTGAAGTACTTCAAAGAGTCCTTGGCACGTAGTAGTACGTAAGTATTCACTATAATTACTATGTATATTACTTGTGTGAATAAAATATATTCTTGAACACAATAGTGTATGATTCATACTGGCTAGAAAGGAAATCAAATAGAAACAGGAAAATGAGTAATGGTGGTGTTTAAATGAGATAGTTAGCATTAGGTACTCAGAACAGTACACAGCATAGAAAAAGAAGTTAATATATTATTATCGTTATTACTACTGCTTTACTTCCTGGATCTTGCAGCAACAATTTACACATCAGCAGTTCATGGCTATGATTACAAACACTATAAACAACATGGAGTCATCAGTGAGTGTTCGCCTTTATTTATCTAAATAACTACAAAGAATCATAGCTCCTTGATTTATGACACTTTCTGGTCCTAAGTAATATAAAAACTAAGCCATGTCTTTTAACCGAGGAAATTTTAGCTTGAAACAGTAGGTGGTGCTATCAGCTCTTCCAGGTGCTAGTAAGAGTTACTCTCTAGTAGCTGATAGACACTTGAAGCCTGTGAGTAGTGGACTTCTATCATTTTTAGGCCACCCCAATTTATCGCACCTTTTGGATAATCAGTTCTCAAGATGTCCAGTCATGAGTGTTTGTGTGTGGGGGGGGTATGTGCGTGTGTGAGGAACATTTATCATAAGATCTCTCTTCAACCTTTAGGTGCACAATACAGTATTGTTAACTCTAGGCACAATGTTGTATAGCAGATCTTTAGAACTCACTCAGCTTGCATAACTGAAACTGTATACCCACTGGACAGCAACTTCCTATCTCTCCTTCCCTCCAGCACCTGGCAACTGCCATTCTACTCTTTGATTTTATGAATTTGACTAATTTCGATAGCTATACAAATGGAATCATGCAGTATTTATCTATCTTTCGTGACTGAGTTATTGCACTTAACATAATGTTCTCCAGGTTCATCCACGCTGTTGCATATGCCAGGATTTCTTTCACTTTTAAGGCTGAGTACTATTCTGCTGTGTATATATATTGCATTTTCTCTATCCACTCATCCATGGACATTTAGATTGTTTCCATATCTTGGCTACTGTGAAAAATGCTGCAAAGAACATAGGAGCATGTACAACTCTTCAAGATCCTGACTCCTTCCTTCCTTCCTTCTTTCCTTCCTCCCTTCCTTCTCTCCCTCTCTCTCTCTCTCTCTCTCTATTTCTGACAGAATCTCGCCCTGTCGCCCAGGCTGGAGTGCCATGGCACCATCTACGATCTCAAATGACTACAACCTCCCCCTCCCAGGTTCAAGCAATTCCCCTGCCTCGGCCTCCTGAGTAGCTGGTATTACAGGCACCTGTCATCATGCCTGTCTAATTTTTTTTTTT